GTCAGTGTGTTGTCGTCTAGAGCGAGTGCAGCTCATACTCACGCTGTGCTGCAACGTGCAGTAGCACCCAAAGAGTGGTCATCTTCGGGGTGAGGGAGAAGGTATGAAAGAAGTCGACCCCCTGACGCTGACTGAAGCATCGTGCAACGTAACGCGCCTTGAAGACATGCGGGGAACCCGACAGCCGCTTCACCCTGAAAATTCACATGCCATCAACTATGTTCGCTCGAAGAGGGGGAATGTTTTGACGTAGGTGCATGCAGACTTGAATGCGTCCATGGCTGTCTGCCACAGAGAGGAGTAAGGACCCGTGATTGCTTCTGTGTAAGAGCGCATGGTCGGGATGTCCAGTGCATCCGGGTCTCCCTCACGGACAAGCAACATGGCAGCGAGATGAGGTACAGCAGCCGCAAGGCACTCCAACTCAACCTGTCTGTCCTCAAGGATGTCACAACAAAGGGCAAGCTCACCCCCAATGGACGAAGGACAGGGAGCTTGTCATATCGCATAAAATCGCACTTTCCTTTAGCGGAATTTCGCTTTCGTGATGCGCGAAATGAAATCCCACCCCTAAAATTCATTCGTACACTATAGAAAGTGGCTTTAATACGGGATTAATAGATGTCCACGGTTCTTATAAAACCCATGCCGTTATAATGTCTACCAAGAATGTACCCCGGTCCTATATGCGGGGGAATACAGTATATGGCTACCTAGGACTATATAAGATACAGCATGCAATCTTGCTATATACATTCACTATGACAATGCAATTTTAAATTCCGAATGGATTTAAAAACCAGAGGGGGGAATTTTAACACTTGGGTCCCAAACCTTTCCCAAACCTCAAGTTGCATGACCCCCAAACAAAAAATCCTTGGCATTGACTTTGTTTGAGTAATTCGGGTCTCACACCTTGTGAATGTCAAATGCCCATCTTCCCCGTGTGTTTACATCACGCAAACTCCTCTCTTTCACTAGTATTTCCAAGTTTTGCTACTTGAATATCTGCTCGACTCACTCTCTCAGTTAACCTGATGGCTGGTCCTACCGAGGGCCTGGTTGCTGATGACGAGGGCAGCGACTACGATCGCAATGGTGACAATCAGACACCCGTTCGTGCGACACAGACGACTACCGGTTTCAACGAACCATGTGCAACGACAACCGTCGACGACAAGCATATTGGTTTGCATCTGCCATTCAAGCCGAATCTTGCTTCCGTTGAGGATGTGTACGAGGATGCATACGAAAATATTATGGCTCATTGGACCACGTCTTTCCCCTGGCTTGTTCTAGCATAACTTGCTTCTGGTATATATGCGTTTACATGCTAAAGATGATCGCAAATGCGGGAGGCGCAGTAAGTATGTCATTGACGTGCAGCAGGCTCGAGCGTTTCAAATGCACACAAACACACATGTTGGCGACGGTGAAGTACACAGCCTTGGTGAATTCGAGGACAATGCAGCCTCGCTTTTTGTACATGGTAGATGTACCGTAATATTTCTGTGATGTACGGTAATATTTCTGAGAAAGCGGAAATAGGGACCATGGGGCTCTTATGCAGGTACAGGGTCTTCTACTTTGGCAGTCCTCATGAGGACCCGTGTTATAGGGTTAGTCATTATAAGACCCCCCCCCCCCCCCTTCCTGCAAAATGTAGAATTTCAACACTGAATTTCTTGTTTTAATCTGGTTAAGGTCACGTTGTTAAAATCATAATTACACATCTTCCGGTTAGATACAACCTACTGCCTACTGCTTCAGCTAGACTAGTCTATCACTTCCTACACCTTCTTGTTCATCATCGTGCAGCACTTCCTACACAGCGTACACCTCCTGCATGTCTTAAGGTACCGTACACCCTCAAGTTCCTTCACAACTGAATCTACTCTTCATCATCGGCCTCCTCATCCTCATTCTCATCCTCCTCCTCAGCATAGAGTGGGTTCACCCACTCTTCCACATCTCGCGCTGCGTGGACGTCATCGTGCACCTTGACTTGCGCAGCATCTCTCGTGTGTGCTAGGATCCGATGATCCTCGCGCCCATTTGGCGTGCTGCTGATGCCATTGGTCTTGAAGGCGCACATGATCGCGTCTTCTGGCACTGCATCCCAAGCAGCCGTGATCTAGCGCAGGACAACCTCTGCAGGTGGCTTCCTGAGGTTGCCTGCAGAAGGAAACGAAGCTGTAAGCGCGGTGTTTTGGCAAGAGTGCGCTAGGAGGTTTAAACATAGGGTACGGTACCTGGAAGGGTGAATGAGTTGATGCCGGTCTTTGTGAAATCACGAGGGATGAATTGACTAGGTGAGATGTGGGTACAAGTAGAAAACCTAGAAATGTTGTACCCTATAGTAACTACCCCGCTACAGCCTAGATAGACCATAGCATATAAACTTGACACACCCCCATAGGCAAAGTGGGGGAGAAGAAGAGGTCACAAGACCAGTCAAGCAAAGTACAGCAAGCTTAGGGTGGATCACAACGTCACCACACATTCCGAGCACAAGGTCAAGGCCACAAGGCCAGTTCACATGCAAGATTATACATAAAGGTAAACAAGCAAGTGCAGGTATAGATAGATCACAGTACAAGCAAGGTCAAGAAGTGAGCAAGTGAGGCAAAGTAGGCACAAGACCTAGCATCGTACAAAAGCGCTGATGATCACAAGGCTGAAGTGCCTTGGTAAAGATATCAGCAGTGTTGGCCTGAGAGGCCACGTAAGCAAGGCGCAGCTGACCACGCTGCTGCAGCTCACGAGCAAGGAAGTAGCGAAGAGCAATGTGCTTCGTTCTGTGCTCCAGTCTGTGCTCCCGACACAAGGCCAGCATGGCCTTGTTGTCTACGTACAGAACTGGAGGAGAACGAGGGGCCGTGAGGGGGTCGTGAGGGGCCACGAAGGGCGGCGACGGGGCCGAGAAGGGGCCGTGAGGGGCCGCTAAGGGCGGCGACGGGGCCGAGAAGGGGCCGCGAGGGGCCGCGAAGGGCGGCGACGGGGCCGTGAAGGGGCCGTCCGGCCTGTGTGGACTCCCCTCGGTGGGGTATTTATTTATGTCTAAAATGAGGGTAACCCAACGTGATCCGAGTGATTGGCCTAGGAATAAAGTAGTGTCAGCTCTTCTTTGTCCCTCTCTAGGACTTTGGCTCTGGTGGGTTCGGTTCCTACCCAGGATGGGTCCATCCGGTCCCCACCCGGGCTGGTCCGGACCCCGGCCCGGCCTGGATCCATCCGGTTCCCACCCGTTCAGGATGGATTCGGTTCCCAACCGGGATGGTCCGGACCCCCACCCGGCCTGGGTGGATCCGGTTCCCACCCGGGATGATCCGGACCCCCACCACCCGGCCTGGGTGGATCCGGTTCCCACCCGGGATGGTCCGGACCCCTGGGTGGATAGTGAGCCTTGCTGTGGGAGGCTTTATTTCGAACTGGCAAGGAAAACTGAAAATGAGTGCTCGGCTCCCTGACTACCCCCTCTCGAAATGGGGAAGGCAGAGACGTGCACAAAAGGGTGGATAGGGTTTGCGCAGCACAAACCCTGTCACGGTGGCGGAGAGGCACGTGATAGGGCTCGAACGTGCCCCATTGTGCCATCACTATTGTCCATCCTAGCCAGATTCCCATGATTTTTTATAAGACCCCGGGACTTTTAGACGGGATATTACGGTAGGAGGAGGCGGGAGTGGGTTTAGTGATGATGACATATAGAATATAACTTAGATGCCTATTGATTGTCTGCCCATAACGAAAATCACCTTGCTTTGTGTACCAACGCTGATTGATCAGCAATTATTGCACTCTGGAAATTCAGCGGGCCTGTTCTCAATCCACACTCGTCCTAGCCCTCCAACATTGCGAATGTTGACAATGGAATTGTTTCGTAACATGCATGCAGCCATTTTGCGATGCGCGTTATTCCAACCAGGAAAGCACATAACTCAGGCTTGTGATGCTTTTTTCTCTTCTCGGTTGCTGCACGTGAGGCTTTTTGAAGGAGTCATGGCACTTAGTTACAAATAGATCCAAGTTAGTGCTTGCTGAGCGTACTCTTTCCCGCCTAGGCCTCGTGTTTCCTATTCTGTGACATGGAATTCACGCTTTGATTTCGAATTCCCACTGATCTTCTCAAACCGAGGAGTAGTGATGCTATTATCGACAACAGCATCGACGCTAGCGGCACCGCGGCTGCGACTGGCCTTGTTGCTGATTATGGCGAAGGAGGAACTGCAGCCACGATCCAACAGCCAGCCGCTTCCCATGTGGACTATCCCATCACCGTTGATCCGCATGAGCCCCTCCAATCAGCGTTCGACAAGCTCTTCGTGTCCCACCTGCCACGATGCTGTCTGCCAGGTCAGAAGACACGTCAGCAACATGATGACGCGGAGAACGCTGGAATCCAAGAGGGGGGAAAGGGGAGCAGCGGCGAGGGCAAAGAGAAGCAAGCGGTTCGGTTCATGGCTGTCGAGCAAGTGGTGTACTTATCGCCTACCTTATCCGCGGTCAAGGCAAGGCATAAATCGGGTACAGTGATCAAAGTGCTGGCAGTGAAATCGAAAGCGACGAAGGGCGGAAACGACGGCATAAACGATGCATTGGTCGCTGCTAACCCATGTGCCCCACTCGCAGAATTCGAAGCTCTGTCGCTATCCCCTGCCATAAAACCCCCATCAAAGTCGTCACCTTTGCCTGCTTCAGGATCTGCCCCTACGCGTCCGCCTCCCCCTGTGCCGGCATCTGCTGATCGTGCCGCACCTTCCGCTCTCCCCGCGCCTCTGGACAACAACGCAAACGCGACAATTATTACTTCCACAGAGGGTGACGGCAGCGGCAGCAGCGGCGGCAGTGACAGCGGCAGCTGCGGGGGTGGGAGCGGCAGTGACAACAGTGGTGACAGTAACCCCAGAAGCATCACCGGTGGCAGCAGCACGGCTGGCAGCAGCAGGAGCTCTAGCAGCCCCTTGCACACGGAGCACGCGCCACTCTCCCGCGCGCACATGGTGCACTACGTGGACGTGCACCTGCCGTGGTCGCACTCCCTCTGCGCCTGCTGCCTCCCCCGCATGCTCCGCCCCGCCCCGCCCGTCGCCTTCCAGATCTCAGGCCTCGCCTCGCTGCGCAAGCACCTGCAGCAGCCAGTGTCGGCCTCAATGCCGCCCTTCCGCTTCGGCCATAAGCCCCCGCGCTTCATCACCGCCTACTCCGCCACCGTTCCGCTTTCCGCTCCTCCGCTTCCAGGAGCTGCTGCTGCCAGTGCTGCTGCTGAAGAGCGCGCAGCAGCGCCGTCGGTGGTGCAGCAGTATCGGTGGAAGGTGGACTCGGGTCCTGTGGTTGCAGCAGAGGCCATGATGCTTGAATGGCTAGCAGAGCCACGTGTCGGCCTGCTACTGGACCTCCAGGATCTCAGGCGCCAGCTGGCGGATCTTCTGGGATGCATGATATAGCTGCTGCGCGTGCTGCCGCTGCCTTTGGGGCTAGAGGCACGAGAGCAGCAGGTAGCCCTCGCCTGTGGTGGTGCTGCTGGCTGTGCAGTGACTGCTGGACGCGCTACCGCCGTGCCGTGTCCATCGCTGCTTTCACCGTGCTTGTCGCCAAGTTTCCCCGCTTTGTCACTCTTTGGCGAGCACCTATGCGGTCTGCTAATTTGATCTTTCCCCGGCTGGCATTTCAGTTCGGCGCGGGGCGGCACGCTGGGGGTGACTGCTTGGCATCGCTGCTGCTGCAGGTGCTGGGAGTGAAGGGCAAGCAGCAGCTGGAGACCGGCTTTGCTGCCCACCTGCTGCCGCTGCTGCCGGGGGGGAGGGACGCGCATGGGGAGGGGGGAGAGGGAGGTGAAAGTCGGGGGAGGGAGGGGGGAGAGGGGGAGGAGTGGAGGAAAGGGTGGAGGGGGGTGGAGTGGGAGGAGTATGTGCAGCGTGTGGGGGAGATTGCCGCCCAGGGAGGGCTAGCAGGCGAGCAGTACCGCTGCTGCTGCTCGCAATGTGGTGACGGCGAGGGAGCTGAGGGAAGGGCAACTGCGACTGTGGGAGACCCATCTGGCAGCAACGGTGGCAGCAGCGGTGGAAGCAGCGGTGGCAGCAGCGGTGGCAACAGCGGTTGCAGCAGCGGTGGCAGCTGTGGCATGGTGGTATCCGGTGTGGACCCCACAGAGTTCGCCCTCAAGAGCGCTACTCTCTTCTGCCAGCCGCCATTCGCCTGCGCTGCGGCTCTCATCTTCTCCGACTGTGCTGGCAGCCGCCACAAGGAGAGGGTGGAAGACGCTGCTGTGGAGGAAGCACTTGACCAGCTGGTAGCGCGGGAGAGACGCACAGAGGGCAGTGGAGTGCAGGATCGAGGGAAGAGAGCAATGGAATCAGACGCACCAGCAACAGATCCTGCTGCTACTGCTGCTGGGTCTACAGCTGCGAGGAACGGGTCCAATACTGCAAGCGGCACCGGCGCCAAGCTGGTGCTAGTGAACAGTAACATGGTGGTGGCACTGTTCACGTACCGAGTATCTCGCCTGCTGCAATGGGTGCGATTTTATGGCCCCAGGGTCAACCCCGCCGAGGACTGCCGATGCTTCAACCAACGGGGGTATGCCACCGCGCTCCCGCATCCACTTCATGACCTACCGAACCTGCTGCAAAGGTTCGGTGTCGTGCCCAAGCTTCCGGCCACCACAGGCGAGGAAGGTCTGGCAAGGACGGTCTGGGAGGAGTTTCCAGAGGGGGACAGGGCGGCAATGGCAGAAGAAGAGAACGACCCTGCGAGGAAGTTTTTCGGATGCAGCACCTTCCACGTGGGGGCGTTTCGTGGCGGCGGCAGTGAGTTGGACAAGGAGGAGATGCAGAAGGAGTACAACGTGAGGGAGTTCTACCCGCCCCTGGCCCACGTGGACTCCTTCACGGTTCGCTCTCATCACCTCCCTGGCGGCAAGATCACTGTGCAGGTCAACACAAGTGGTCCCGTCTTCCCCACGCTGGGCCATCGCGTGGAGGAGTTTCTGAGAAGGTTCGCACCTGCAAGGCTGGCAAGGGAGGGCAGGAACGGCCCTCTGGCCAGGGCTATCACCTCCTGGGCTGGGCGCTCAGGCCTCAGGGATCACGCGTGGGCTGCTCTGGCTCTTGGGAAGTATTCTCACGGAAGGATAAAGCCCATCCTATGGTCCGAAGCTGAGGTGGATGTGTCTATAAAGTTGATCTCAAACGCCATTTCTCCCATTCCTGCCTGCAGCCGCGGCCACCGCTGCATTTGCATGTACTACCTGGCTGTAAATTACACCTCGCTCGTCGCCACCTTCGCCTACCGCCCCTCGTCCGCGCTGCTGCGCTGCCTCCTCTCGCTCTTCCCGGCCCGCTCGTCCCGCTTCAGAGAGCTCCTGGAGAATCTGGGCGTGGCGCCCGTCCCGGCGGTGGTCCCGGACTCGCTGGTGGCGGCGCTGCTGGAAGGCGTGATGGAGGAGCATCGGCTGATGCTGCTCTACATGAGAACGCTGCTTCTCACTAAGGAAAATGCCCTTCCGGCCATTCTGGAACCCGTCAGCACCGATGCGGGCGGGCAGGTGGAGGGGGAGAAGCAGCAGCAGCAGCAGCAGCAACAGCAGGGGGAGGAGGAGTGGAGGATGTGGGAGGAGGTGGACATCTGGCGCATGGCGGCTGGAAATGCGTGGCCTGCTATGGAGGCCCACGACTCGCCGCTGCAGATGAGAGCAGGTAAAAGGGTTGGGCGTGTGCAGGGGGAGGTGTCTGAGGAGTGCTGTGAGGGCATGAGGCGTGCAATTAAAGACGCTGGGAAGGGGCAGAAGGGGAGGACAGGGGCGTGGTACCTGGTGCCGTGGCCGGGGGGGTTGAATCCTCTGGCGTGTTTGAGGGAGATGCTGCTGGGGGAGACCAGCTACTGTCCCCAGGCCCACGTGGATGCCGTTTCTGCTGCTGCTGCTGGCGGTGCTGCTGCTGCTGCTGCTGCTGGCCCTGGTGAGGGGCGCAGTGGCAAGGGAGGGCAGCGTGGGTGTGTGTCGGCACAGTGTGGCAGCGAGGGAGGGCCGTGAGGCTGTGCCTCCCCGCGGTGTGGCAAGGTGGAAGGGGTGGGGGTGCAGCTCAAGGTGTGTGCGCGCTGCAGTAAGGCTGCCTACTACAGCAGGAAGTGCCAGAAGTCCCACTGGCCCTCGCACAAGCTCAAATGCCAGGTCAAGGGGAAGGAAAAGGTAGAGGAATAAACGATGGGGTCTAGTTTTGTGAAGGCTATTTGACACTCTTAAGCCAGCACAAGCTGTCCATTGACAATCTTTAAATCTTGGGTTGGGACTGGTGGAATGTTTTTTTCTCACCCAGATATGCACACCCCGTGCTTATAAGGTACACTCCGATAATACGTGACACTCTTTGACAGTGCTAATCTGCATACTATTGTGTCATCGTGCCAGACATAGTGATGTACTCGAAGGGTCACATTTCCAATTCCGAACGATTACATTGAAACAACCAGATTGGAGAACACAGAAAAATAGTTCTTTAATGAGAGCGTATTCCTACAGCCTCATATCAGTGTCAGAATGCTAGGCAGGAATGGATTGCACTAGGAAAGAGTTTGGTACAAATATGAAACCCTAAAGGGGCTGTACACAGGGGTTTTTTTATCAGAGTAAATTACTCTGCTTCTCTGAAAATCAGAGTGGGTTTTGCTGCGATCAGAAGATGATCGCTGCCAGGATCTCCTCGAGAAGGTTCGTACACAGGTAGATAGACTAGGGTGGGCCCTTGACCTCAATAGCAGAGTGAATGTAAAATGCTTGAGATGATTAAAACATGCAAATACAACGATATAAATAAGAGCACAGCGGAATACGAATCGACCTAGCTAGCCATGTACTCTAAGGGGTACATTCCCTTATTCAAATTCATTCCCAACCATGCGGCGCGTACAGTTACGAAACTGTTCCCGCAAAAAAAAAACCCTCTTGCCTGTAGCTGCCCGATGCCGTCTGCTCCGACAGTCCAGATGCATCCCAACCGTCCGACGTTTCGGGTCAACTCTGACTCTTCACATTCGTTCTCGATACTGCATGCTTCTTTAGCTGCGGTCAGGAGTGCACTGTAATCTTCATTCATTGCTATTTGTAACACCCCCCTTCACTCCTGGCCGTGGCTCGACTTGACCTGCTTGACCACGCCGCTGAGTTCGGAGAAGTGCTGATACTGCTGGCGTGGCAGTCGCTTCGTGAGAAAGTCTGCTGCCATGTCACCGGTCGGGCAATAGGTCAAGTCAACCTTGCCCTTGTCCACTTCGTCCTTCACGAAGAAATACCGTAGCGCAATGTGCTTGGTGCGGTTGACGAACCCAAGTTTGTTCGCGATGCGAATCGCGCTCTGGTTGTCGCAGTGGAGGCGAAAGGTGGGCGAAGCTGGGATTTTCGCCTCCTGCAGAAGTTCCTGTAGGTAGAGGCCTTCGCGAACTGCTGCGGTTCCTGCGATGAATTCCGCTTCGGCTGACGACAAGGCAACCAGCTCCTGCTTCTGCGAGTTCCAAGAGATTGGTCCCGTTGGTTCGAGTCGGAACAGGAAGCCAGTCCTGGACCGTCGATTGTCGGGATCTGCTGCGTGATCGGCGTCCACATAGCCGATCAGGTTGAAAGATGGGGTTGGTGGAGTTGAGTAGCACAACCCAATCTTGGGCGTTGAAACGAAGAACTGTAGGGCGCGCTGTAGGTCCAGAAGATTCTCAGCCGTTGGTTTGTGTGAGTACTGGGCCAGCTGACTTGCAATGTAGGAAAGGTCAGGCCTGCGTGTGACAGAGGTGAAGAGCATGTCAAACATTATATATGTGTTATTGCTGTGTAGGCTACAGTGGGTTAGCCTTTAGGGGGTACACAACTCTAGGGTTTCATACTTGTACTCCAATGTTTCATAGTTCAATCACTTCTTGTTTCTGACATGGTATTAAGAGCTTAGGTCCTAGTCCTAGGACCGCTTACCTAAGGGCCCACCGCTAGAAGCGCCCTCGAGCGCCGTATCTATTTAGCGCCCTCGAGCGCCTCTCTCCTAGTGCGCCCTCGTGCGCCTCTCTTCCTCCTGCTGCCCGTGCGCAGCTCGCTAGTGCCGCGCGCGGCCTTTATTTTTTTAGCGCGCGTAGCCCGCTAGCAGCCCGCGCGCGGCCTTTTTTCTGAGCGTGCGCCGACCCCTAGCCGCCCGCGCGACCGGCGCCGCCCACGAGCAGCCCCTAGCAGCCAGTCGACCGCCGCCCAGAGCATCGCAGCCCCGCTCGTAGGCCGCTGCGACGCCCCTCTAGGCCGCCGCCCGCGCGCTAGTCAGGCCCACGCAGCCACGGCCCGCCCGCTACAGCCGCCCACGCGCACGCCCCCCCATCGCGCACCGCCGCGTAGCCCAGCCCAAGCCAAGCCGCGCCGCCCGAACCGCGCCGCGCCGCCCGAACCGAACCGCGCCGCCCGAACCGAGCCGCGCCGCCCTGGCCGAGCCGCGCCGCCCTACTGTGCCCCACCTGCAGCAACTCCTGTTCCTGTTCCTGCCGTACTACTGCTTCAGCTGCAACTGTTACTGCTACTGCTACTACTACTACTGTCCCTACTGCTGCTATTGCCACTATGGCCACTCCTCTATTCTCACCTTTGACGCTGAGGGCCGCCCGATTAAGTTTGAGGTTTGGTTAGATGACCTCCACCTGTTCCTCCAGATCACTGCCAAGGACGATGTCTCCCTGTATGACCACACGTCAGGCGCCGCTCCCGCACCTCCCACTACTGCTGACAGTACTGCTCGCTCCCAGTGGCAGACCCGTGATGCTCACGCTCGCCTAGCCGTTCGCAGCCACCTGCCGTTAGATGAGCGCGAGCACTTCGGCCAGCATAAGACCGCTAAAGAGCTGTACGACGCAGTAGTCACGCGCTACTCCTCCCCTGCCACTGCTGCTATAGGCCGTCTCTCACTACCCTACCTCTTCCCCGACCTGTCCGCCTTTGCCACTGTAGCTGACCTCATCACCCACCTCCGTACCAGTGACCTCCGCTACCGTGCTGCGCTCCCCCCCGATTTCCTCGCCAAGAACCCCCCCCCGATGTACCTCACACTGTACCACCTTGTCTCCCGCCTCCCTGACTCCCTTCGCACTGTCAGGGACCAGTTTCTCGCCCTCTCCCCCACTGACCTCACTGTCGACCTCCTCGAGAAGGAACTCTTAGCAGCTGAGAAGAGCATTGTAGCTGTAGGTGCCTCTCGTGGTGACCCCCGCACCCCTTTCTTTGAGGGGTGCTCCCCCTCCCCCCTCCTCCCCTCCATTGCATCTGCTGCTGCTGTCGACTACCTCGGAGCTGAGGGGGTCGGGGCCGCGTCTGCTCCTAGTGGGAGGCGCAAGGGCGGCAGGGGCAAGGGGGGCAGGGGTGGTGGAGGTGGAGGCGGGGGCGGCGGCGGTGGAGGGGGTGGGGGGGGGCGGGGGTGGTGGCGGAGGTGGGAGTGGCGCGGGTGGTGGGGGGGTCAGTGGCGGCACAGGGGTTGGTGGCGGCGGCGGTGGTGGGGGTGGTGGGGGTGGTGGGGGTGGTGGTGGCAGTGGTGGCGGCGGTGGAGCGGGTGGCGGGCGCGGTGGAGCGGTGCAGCGTGGGGGGTTCGGCGGTGGCCAGAGGCAGCAGCAGCAGCGTCCCGGCAAGACTCCCTCGCCCCAGCAGCTCCGTGAGTGGTACTCTCAGCGTGGGGGGTCTGGGGGTGGAGGTACCTGCCCGTACGTCATCCGCACAGATGACCGCACTGGCCAGACTTGTGGGAGGTTTCACACGGCACAGCGCTATTTCTTTCGCCTCGACGACGCCTGGCGCGAGCAGTTTCCTGACGCCTCCCTGATCTGCTTAAGAAGGGAATTGATATCTTTGCTCTTGATTATGATGCTATCCTTGCTGCTATGTATGCATTGACTATTAGTGTTGAGGGTGACTGTTACCTGAGTGTACCGCCCGACCCGGGTATTGGGACCAGTGAGGCTGCAGCTCTAGGTGCTAGCGCGTCTGCTGCTCCAGGTCCTGGTGAGGCTGCTGCCCTAGGTGCTAGTGCGTCTGCGTCTGCTGGTACCACACCTACTGAGGCCCTGCACACCTTCACACTGGCCTCAGGTGCTTCCCGCTGTTTCGTTCGCGACCGCACTGCCCTAGAGCAGCTTCCTAGACCGGTTGCTGTCTCCCTGGCTGACCCCTCAGGGGGTCCGGTCCTTGCGACCTCCACCACTGCCCTCCGGTGTCCTGCTATCCCGTCTGGCACGCTGTCGGGCCTCTACCTCCCCTCGTTCTCTACGAACTTGGTGGCGGGTTCCGCGCTCCAGGGCGCGGGTGTTCACCAGTTCACCCCGGCCTACGAGCGTGTGACGCACTGCACGTGTGCCCAGACGGGTCGTCACCTGGCTACCTTCACTCGGCAGCCGGGGTCGGACCTGTACACACTGACCACTGAGTCCCCTCAGATAGCTGCGTCTGCGTCTGCGTCTGCGTCAGGTCAGCTGTTGGCCCCCTGCTCGTGTCGCTCCCTGTCGCATAGGACTTTCCTCTGGCACCACCGCCTTGGTCACCCGTCAGTGCAGCGCCTTCGCGGCATGCACTCCAGGTACCTTGTCTCTGGTCTTCCCAGGGTTCTCCCTCCCCTGCCACCCTCGCCTGCTCCTCCCTGTCTTCCCTGTGTCGAGGGGCGGCAGCGCGCCGCTCCCCACTCTTCCTCGTTCCCTCCCACAGAGGCTCCCTTGCAGACTCTCCACCTGGACGTGTGGGGCCCAGCCCGCGTCCGGTGACAGGGCCACGAGCGGTACTTTCTGCTGGTCGTCGACGACTACACGCGCTACACCACGGTCTTCCCCTTGCGTACCAAGGGTGAGGTCCCTGATGTCTTGAACCCCTGGAACCGCGCTGCTCGTCTCCAGCTCCGCCAACGGTTCTAGTCGGACTTTCCTGTCCTACGTCTGCACTCTGACAGAGGTGGGGAGTTTTCCTCTGACCTCTTGGCAGCCTACTGTGCGGAGCACGGCATCCGCCAGACGTTCACTCTCCCGGCCTCTCCGCAGCAG